CAAAAACTTTGCCCATGAATTTAAAGCCTTAAAATCGCTCGTAAATCTTTTAACTAAATTAGTTTTCCCACGCGGCTATTGAGCTGCCTCGCCCCAAAAATCGTAGTGCATTGAAAGTTTTGGTAATCGAAAACTAAATTGCAAATACCAAAACAAAAGCCTTAAATAAATGTGGGCAGCTGCAATGGAAGGCTTTGCGCCATGGCTGCCTGCCAATGCGGCCAAAAAAAAAAAAAAATAGAGGGGCGTCAAAATCTCTCTCCCTCTCACACACTCTTTATGTATATATATAGATTTCACATAAAAAGTTGTTAACAACTGAAACAGAGCGTCAGAGCAAACAAATATTTGTGCAAAAAAAAAAAAATATATATATATATTTGAAGTGTTTTTAGAAAATTTAACATAAAAACTTTTCTTTTTCCATTTCCTTTGTTTTAGTTCACAAAAAAAAAAGAATAGAAAGCTTAGTGAAATCCAATGATTATCTAAGACAAGGTCAAAATTTGTGAGCTCGAGGCTTTCAATTAGAGTTTCGTCACAGGTAATTACAGGTGCCACGCCCACGCCCTCGCTCACACACGCATAAACACAAACACATAGTAGATGTAAATGCGAAATAGCTACGCCTCTCTCTATCTAGCTCTACTTCTATATCACACTACAGCTCACTCCCTCTCTCTCTCTCTCTATCTTTCTCTGTTCCTGTCTCTGTCTTAGATACACATAGACATAGTCTGACAAATTCTCAGTTAACTTCCTTGGCATGTTGGCCACGTGCGGAAATTAAAATTCCAGCTGCGTCAAAAGACTAAAAAGTAACAAGAAACAAGAGCAGAGCGAAAGATAGAGAGAGGCAGAGCGAAAGAGATGGCGTGAGTGAGACTTTGACTTGGCGCCAAATAAAAAACTGTTTGGCAAAATGAAGGAAGACTGCTTCTTCTTCATCTTCTTCTTCTTCAGCTTTGCTTTGCAATTGTCTAGACTAGAGTCAAAGGACTGCGCCAAATTGTATGCTACGCTTTGTTACACGTGCATCAAAGTGAAGCTCGAGCCGAGAGGCTAGATCATAGCTCACAGCTGTGGCACACACACTTGCATACTTATATATACATACACACATATACATAGATATACTCACATCTATATGTATATATATATATATATATATGTTATGTATACCTGTATCCATGACTTCAATTAGCTTGTTTTCCTTTCGTTCAGGCATTCAGAACTCAACCCACTCGCCTCGCTCGCAGCTCTCTCAGTTCTCTCGCTTCTCAGCTCACAGTTCGCCTAATTAAAGTCCACGAAAAGTTCGTGTATTTGAACAAGCGCCGTTGATACGGCAAAGGGTCAAGAAACTTGCCAAAAGGCAAAAGTTTGATATATATATTATACATGTGTATATATATATATATGATATATGACTTAAAGGGTTTTTCGATCACGTTTAAGTCTTTAACTAAATTTAAGTTTGGATGACTTTCAAAATGTGTGTCACGCATTGAAGACAATTTAGTCAGACAATTTAGTCGGTAAATAGATATTGAAAATTATAAAAAATAAAAATATATTAAAAAAAAAAATATATTAATAAAAATATTAATAATGCGAAACATAATAATAATCAATTAATTTATTATAACTATATAATAATAGCAATTACATTAATAACATTGCAATTAATATAAAATAATAATAATGACTTAATTCAATTTGACTTGGCTTCGACTTTGATATATTTATTAAATAAATAAATATAATATAAATAAGTTAAAACTGACTGTAAAATACCTATTCCAGCCCTGCCAGATTTTCCTCACAACTAAATTTTCAGCACTTCTGATGATATTTGACAAATTTATTTCGATGTGAAAATATATTTACAAATGATTTTTAAAACTATTTTTAACTATATTATATTAGCATTTCTGTTCCAGTCTCAAGGACCTTTAAACCCTTAACTGTTATCAATGCAATTGGCGTTCCGCACAAATATTTCGTGCGGTTGTGTTGAGCATCTGGTAAGTGCTCCACTTGGCCAAGGACCTCGGCATACGTGAGTCGTGCGAGGACTACACGCTGACGCGCCAACCTGCTGCAGGGCTGAAGTGCTGAGGCGCTGCGCTGGCTTTGGGCAATCCATTTAAGTCTGGCAAATGTTTATCAACATTTCACAGTTGCGTCGAGATATGCAAGGGCCAAAATCATTTCTCAGCCACGTTAGGATTGCAAACATACCGCACTCGCCCTGCCTCACACTTCCCCTCTCTCACACACACACACTTTCGCTATCTCTCTCTCTCTCTCTCTCTCTCTCTCTCTCTCTCTGTCTTTCGCTTTGGCTAAAACAAAAGAGCTTTTAACAGAGCTGCGTGTGTGCGTGCAACCTTTGGCCGATTAAACATAAATCCCTATAAAGCAACAAAGTAAAAAATTGCCAACGAGCCAAGCTAAAAACTTTGGCAAAGTGCTCAACGTCTTTTCCGACCGATACAGCCACGCCCGCACGCTGCACGTTCTTATCCTCAGCCTTGTCGCTGTCGTCGTCGTCGTTGACAACGACGTGCGAGGCCTTTGAAGTTGTGTTGCAGAGTGGCGGCAGCGGGGGGCGTGGCATGGTGTGGCGCGTAATTTATATGCCATGCACAAGATCATTGCTGTTGGGGCATTAAAAACTTAAATAGTTTTAATTCGCCTCAAATATGCAGCCAGGCAAAGGCAGCTTGCAGCACAGTGCGTATACTTAATGCTGCCGCAACTACTCTGATTACCCAATGAGCGAGAGAGAGAGAGAGAGAGAGAGGGAGACCTAGTGGGAGTCAGCTGTGTCCCCATCGCTTATTCCACATTAATAATATGCAATGCTGGTCTTAACTTAAAAAAAAAAAAAAAAAAAAAAAAGAACACGAAAGAAATGAAATTTAAATAAGGATAAGACAGAAGCTGCGGCGCGGCCAACGAATTGATTTGAATGGCCGCAGGGCCAACTGCCAAGAATAACAATAAACATTACTATCTGCTTCATTGGTTATTTGCGTTTGTTGTCGCTGTCGCTGAGTATCGAGGGCAACAACAACAACAACAAGAACAACAGCAACAACATTTTAAAAGGCAACCGCAGAGGGCAGGCGCAGCCAGACGCTGTTTATAAAGCAATATATACATACATATATACAGCAGCCTTGCGGAGGGAAGGTAGCCAAAAGCCAAGCCAAACCACGCCAAGACAACCAAAACCCAATCACAATCCCCACCCCACCCCACGCCACCCCATCCCAGCCCAGCACAACTCAACAACGAAATCGTATTGAATCAATATTTTTGGCCTGCAGTGTTTGAGCTCGGCTAGCGGATTTCTTTGGCGTCCGCGGCCCAAGCGCTGCCTTGGCTGCAGCTTCAGTTCTGCATTTGTGGTGAGTTTCTCTTCTACTTTGTCAGCAGTCAGCTGTGTGTTGAGTTTCCCACATTCAAACAGAGCGCCGACTCGCTGTATGTGAGAGCATTAGCACAGTTCGGTGCTGTTATATGTAGAAGCACGAAGCTATACTGGGAACAGTAAGCTCTTATAATTTCCGTTAACAGTTCAATTTGTGCAAGTGTATGTGTGTGCGTGAGTGTGTTTGTGTGTGTTTGGGGGAAACGGAAACAAAACATGTAAACAAAAAGCCATTGATAGTGCTTATCAAGACAGCAGCTGTAGCAAAATATACATTCGCCGAGTGGTAAGTGAGAAGCCAGTGATAACTGAATGTTAGCGGCTCGTATAAGACGAGCGACGAGCAGCGCTTGAGTGATGCAAGAGAGTTGAGATATAATTAACTATTTATATATATATTGTGGAATACAGCTTAAATATAAGTTAATTATATTAAATATTAAAATTATTAATAATGTTTAAAAATATTTTGTTTAGACTTTTAGTTATTTTGATTTGTAGTAAATAAATATTAATTTAAAAACTCAAAAAAATAAATATAATTTTTCTTTTATTAATTTGTGTTACATTACACATGAAAATGCAAAAATTTCAAGAAAATTAATTAAATGAATTTGTTAACTATTAAAAATAAATTTGTATTTTAAACGTTAAGATAAAAACTTCGTTTGCCATTTTGTTTATACTATATTTATTTTGATTAATTTTTTAATTTTTTATATTTTTTTAATTTTTTTTGTTTTGTTTTTTTTGTTACTAAAAAATTATAATAAATTATTTAAGAGTCTTAAACTATAAAAAAAAGCTATAAAAATATAACTAATAATTTTTTTTTTTTTTTTTTTAATATACAGTTTAATTATTCAATATATTGGAAAGATATAATATCTAAAATTCTGAAATGTACGTAAATTTAGTTCATATCAAGTAAATTAATGTTTTGTTCTTTGCTTAAGAAGTTAACAAAAATATTATACTTTTGCTTGACTTGTTCATAATTTTAGTCAATATCCTAAATAGATATATTTTCTCTTTTCCGTTAATACTGACAAATTACTTTCATATCAAATACTTAAATTTTGTTCTTTGCTACATTTAATATTGATATTTATCGTGGCTAACATCTTTATTTAGTTGCTTAATTTTAATTTGATAACCCGCATTTATTATGCATTTTTACGGCGACATATAAATCACATACCGCAAAGCACTAAAAATGAAAATCAAAATCCAAATAGAAATCAAAAAATAAAAGCCAACTCGAACTCTTTTCGCACTCGTTCGCGCTGAGCGTAAGCTACTATTTCAGCTCTCTGTCTCTCTCTTTTGCGCTCTCTCGAGCAGCGCCGCTGCAGCGCTTAGCACTGAATGCGCCTGCACGTATAACAGTTTTCGAAAAGACGACGACACGAGGAGTACAACGACGAGAAAGCCGACAGCACGATGCCGATGATAACGGCGACCACGACGACGACGACGACGACGACGCTGCTGACGCCGTAGCTCTGCCCGGCTGGCAGGCAGGCAGACGAACGCCTGCTGAAAGTCGTCGAAGCGTTGCGGCCAAGCAGTCTCATAGCGTACGCCGTTAACGACAGACACAGCGAACACAGCGTGAGCCCCATAAGCACGCAGACGGACGGGGTGTTGGCGTCGTGCGTGGTGCAGTTCAGTTGCAATTTAACCGTTACAAAGCGCAAATCCAAAACAGAGCAAACCCAAAAAAAAGGAAGTAAACAAAAAATAGAAAATCTAAAAGTAAACTAAAGAAAGTGAGCACAGTGAGTTGGCAACGCTTCGAATTTGCCTTTTAAAGTGGAAAAAAAAAAAAATAGCATAAATAAAAGTAGCGCAAGACACGTGCTAACTGTTAAACGGGTAACGGTAAACGCGCATTTGCCGGGCAGCAGACAACGCGAAAGCCGTAAATTTCGTGTGAGAGACTAGCGTGGGGAATGCATTTAGCACGTGAATTTCAAGCTCGCAAATTGAGCCAACAACGCGACAACAACTACAACAACAACAAGGAGAACGTCGACAACGACGACAAGATGAAACATGTGTAAATGCTAACGAGCGAGTAAATGGAAAGTGGGAAAGGAGCTTGACAAGTGTAACGAAATTTGATTGATTTTGATTGACATGGCACTCAGCAGCTGTGGCCACCCAGAAGTGAAATTCGAGTGAAAACCAAACACAAATTTAAAAGCGAGCAAACAACAAAACAAAACAAGAAACCGAAAAAAAAAAAAAACAAGAAAACTCGAAACTGAGAAAAACTTCAATTCAACAAGGGGGGAAGACCCATGGAGAATGATATATATATGTATATATATATATTTACAGTAATAAGTGCGAACAACAGAAACCAATAAAAGTACAGCGCTCGCATAAAGTAAGATTGCAATAAAATATATATATGTATATGTGTATATAGTTACTCTCTCTATATATATGTGTGTGTGTGAAGCTGGGCGCCGGCTAATCAAGCGCTGCGGCGCACAATAAAATCGTCGAGCTAAGCAACTTTTTTCTTGAGTTTTTCCCTTTTGCTGCGGCGGCTGTCGCTCACTTTTTTCATTGCCTGCCATCATTTTCCGCATGTGTACATGTGTGCATGTGCGTGTGCGTGTGTGTGTGTGTGTCAATGTGCGTGTGTGTGCGTAAGTCTGTCATATAGAAAGGATAAAATATTTGCGCATTGATTTTCGACCAACGCAACTGTGACAGCAACAAAGTGGATCAACAACAACAAGAACAACAACAACAACAAGAACAACAACAGCAACTTTAACAACAACAACAACAAGTTTTGGACAACCATTTTACTGGGGGTACGTTATATCTAATTTCTGCTGAACATTAATACTAATAGTCCCAGCTGTCTATCTGTCTCCCTCTCCATCTCTCTCTATCTATCTATCTCTCTCTTTCTGTGTGTGTGCATAAAACTGAACAATATTGCGAGAGTTTGGAACTTTTTATGCACCAGCTCTAGGATAATGTCACAAATTCGTCCCCAATCTACAGCTGTACAGTTATACAGTTAAACACACATACATAAATATACATATTTGTGTATAGCTATGTGTATTTGCATTTGTCTAATTATGTCAACTGGCATTGGCTATTTGCTTTTGGCTTTATTGAAAACATATTTCCAGTTTGTTCAACTTTGAACTGTTTGCGAAAAGTTTGGCAATAGGAAAACAAGTTTCGATGGCAATGAATGCTGGTCTGAGCAGCTGCTCATAAACTTGGCTAATTAAGTGAGCAAGTTGATTTATCTGGTCAATATATAAATATATTTCCTTCAAGAGTATGAGGCATATAACTTTGCTGTCTTTATAACTATATAAAGTTCTTGAATTATTATTGAGTAACGGTTGAAGATATAGAAGATCTATATTATAAATAATATTATTAAAATATTCATAAGTAGTACTTAATTTCAATATTCAGTATTCAGTATTCAGTATTCAATATTCAATATAAAATTATATTATTATACAATATTCGCCTTAGAACTTGCAGGGGCAACATGGGAATTATATAAAACCCTCTCTTTGTAGTAAAGTTGGAATAATTGAAAATATATGAATTATGATTTATACCAAATTTAATCAAATTATTCAGAAACTTAATTCAATTTTAATATGGTGAATATCGAAAGTTCAATATTCAATTTCGATTCATTCAATATTAGTTTTATAATAAGCCTAGGCAATGGGCCTCCCATCTACTGTTTTTTATAATATTAGTAATTGTGAATGAAAATCTTGGTAAATATTCATCATTATTTCGGAATTACCTCTGTCTCTTACCTATTCTTAAATCAACCTGTCAATTGGCTTTTTTATGTATATAGCATGAGCTTCATATATTTCATCTATTGTAAAATATAGGGAGTGTATTTCGCATGAATTAATATGTAAATGTATTCACATAATCAGTTTATATGTTTGTTTAATTTGTTTATATAGCAATTCTTCATATATTTGGTATAAAGAATTTCCCATACCAACATTCTTTATCTGCCTCATATTCCATACTCAATAACGATTGGCGCAATGTTTCTTAAGTTGATATACTCAGCTATTGAAAATATATTTTTGTCATGGAATTACAATTAAAAATTATAAAATGTTTCAGGAATCCGGAACTTGATTAGAGTTTTTTAACTGGTATAAATAATATTTTCATAATTCAAATTGCAATTGCCTCGTCAATAAAATACAAAAAAAATTAAACTAGAATAATTTTTGAAATGTAGAAGCAGAGCAAAATAATAATATATTTTTTAACTAGTGTACACAATTTCTATCATAATATGAATTTTAGGAATTTGTCCAAACAATTGAAATCAAAATAAAATAAACTAATTACTTTGGACTATTCACAAAAATCTTGATTAGAAACCATTTGATTTGAATGATTTGATCTAAAAATGTAGAAAATTTCATCGTCCATATATGCGCACATATTTCTTATTTTCTACCTAAAATATTCAATTTCCCAAAACATGTTTCGCCCATCTCAATATTTATTTAATGTAATATGCAAAATAATCCACCCAAATTAAACTTGATATTCGATTTCCCTAAAGTGCTTAACCCATTCAAATATTGTTTATTTAATAATCAAGCTTTAGCTTCACACAAATGGTTCAGCCTCGACCTTTTCAAATTTGCATATTCAATTAAAGTTTATTTTTGGCCAGAGTCATTCACATTTAATTGGGCGATTAATTAAGTTGAATATAAACGTATTTTTAGTGCTTATCTCTAATTGATAGTTTTTTTGTTGTTGCTTGCAAATAATTTTTCCGGGCCGGGGCACAAAACCTATATTTTCGAGTGTATTTGCGACCTTTCCCCCAGCTGAATGAACATTTTCGGGCTCCTTTTCATGCGCATTCCGACAAATTAAAATTCACCGGCCTCAGTCCAGTAAAAGGCAAACAAAACCCTTTTCATAGTAATTTTAATTAACAACAGGCCAAACATACATACATTGAAAACACAACAACAAAAGGAAACAACAACAAAAAATACTGAAAATAAGTTTAAAATATTTGCGCTGCGGCTCGGCAAATTTTTGAAGGTGAAGAAGGAGCCAAACCACAACAAAAGCAAGACGCGGATGGTTTTACCTGGCGGCCCGCGGCGGGGCTTTCGCCACCTGTAAATATTTGGTAATGCCCACGAAAAACTTATACGCCTAACAAGAAAAGCGCCTGCCTGGCTTTCCCGGGGCATTGGCTTTTCGGTATCAGCCTCAGCCTCAGCCCCCGCCTCCTCCGATTCAGCCTTCGTCTCAGCTGAGGCATCAACAACGGCATTGGCTGCTGGCGTGCAAATGAGAAAATTCATTATTTAACATTAATTAAGGCTTATTATGCACATTATCAACACACAGCGCAGCCAACACGCTCACACTCACACTCACACACACAGACACAGTCGCACCCACCCGCACACAGACACAGACATACCGCATTAAATGTCAGCGTGAGACAGCCGCAGACACCCACATAGTGAAAATGCGAGGGTGGACAACTATCACCCATGAAAATTCAGGCAAAAAAGCAAACGTTCATAATTCAGCATGGGAGAGGTGAGTGGCAAACAGGAAGTGTAATAGCAACAACAACAATGCCAGCAGCAGGAGCAGCAGCAGGAGAAGCAAGTCAGCCTATTTAAATTATTCAGTAAATTGTTAAGTAAATAACATGAGAGAGGCACGTTAAAAAGGCAACACAAACAACAACAACAACAACAACAATAACAAAGCCAAAATAGCTTCTCATCCTTGTCTATGGAGCAGACATTTAGTTCCCATATGAAAACACACGTTGCTGATGATGGGTGTTGATGGTGATGATGATGATGATGATGATGATACTAATGCTGATGATAATGACGTTGCCGCTGTACGCCAGGCGCTGCTCTTAATGTACTTGGTACAATAAAATCAACACAAGGTGTGCGTGTCTATATTTGTGTGTGTGTGGGTGAGTGTGTGAGTGTGTGTGTGAGTGAGTAAGCGAGCAGCTGCGACCACATAGTCAAAATGCTGCCAGTTATCGTTACAGTGAAAACTCTGCATATTTATGTGGAAAACTATGCCTTGGCCACCGAGAGCAGAGAGCAGAGAGCAGGGAGCAGGCAGCAGCAAACAGCCAGCAGACAGCTCAGTTATTTAAACAAGAAGCAAACATTTTGCAATTCCAAGTGTACGTCAATAGTAAGCGAACCTGAATTGAAGAATTGCGGTACGCATATGCTGTTAACAATGCTACACTGCACAAAAATGGGACCTTTTAAAACTCAAAAAGTTTTTATAAAATTTATATATATATAAAGGGGTATGAAAAATGAAATCAAAAAAAAAAAAAAAAAAAAACTAATTTATTATTAATAGTTAGTTCTCAAGTTCGATCAGTGCGGCTATAAATTTTATTATATTTTATTGCGATCATTTAAATTTGTATTATGATTGAATTTAATATTATTATTTTATATAAATTTTCATACTCATTTAAAATGGAAAATATTG